GGGATCGTGGATGCGCACTGCTGAGGAGCCCAATACCAGGACGAAACGGCCGTCCAGTTCTTCCAGGTTTTACATAATGGTCTAGCTTTAATTGACTCACGATTTCAATCAGTGAAAAATTTAAATAGTAAATTAATACCATTCTGAAATGCGATTAAATAAACCTGATGTAGACAGTTTAGATGGTTTTCAAGTGTTTTTGACAGTGATACATTTGGTGTTTTATGTTTAACTATTTGGTGGAAAAGATTTTTTAGATTAGGTGGATGATTTTGATAGAGTTTTGTTCACTAGAGCTAGATGGTTTGGTTGTGGAACTTTCATCGTTCTTTTGAACGACATCATCAATACAAGCTTCAGGTAGAAGAAAAATAAACAACTTTTGCAATGAATTCAACAATGAATAGTAGTTTGTTTATTTTTCTTTATTAATTTAAAAAAATGATTAGGTTATGGTAGTATTTTGATTGATAATATAAGGCTAGACCACTATGGAAGACATTGACAGCCGTTTCGTTCTAGTATGGGACTTCTCAGCAGTGCGAATTCATGACTATCCTCTCGGGATTCGAAGACGTGATCAGTAAACTTCGATCGGATCTGTCGTGAGATAGTAACTCAGAACATTTCGGTATCGTGCACAAACGCTTAACCTCGAAACCACTGAGCGGGAATCGAAAGGTGTTACTGTTTAACTTCAATCAATCCACGAAATTCCGCAACCGTCCTCCATTGTTTTCAGTGAGTTTCTACCTCTACAGTAGACATGGTTGAACTCCCCTAGTCACAGCTTTTCTCTACAACTCCAGGCAACTCATATTAAAGCTAGTCACTAGTGAGCACATGATAATTATTAGTAACAATCTCTATAACCCTATACTGATAATTATTTTTTATTTGATATTCGAAACCAACTTCAGCGAATTATTTATCAATATGATTTTCATTAGTGATTTAGGGTAATTCATTTCGTTTTTAAAATAAAAGCTCTACGTGTACCACTGTCATAATATCAATTAATTGACCTATCCAATATTCACTTTCATAATTGCCAAAAGATATAAGTAACTTTTAAAAATCAACTACCTAGACGCATTGTGGTGTGTGTGCATTCACGAGCGCCTGGTGCGAAACTGATAGGTCGTGGGTTTGAATTTGGCGGGGTGCGGGATCGTGGATGCGCACTGCTGAGGAGTCCCATGCCAGGACGAAACGGCCATCCAGTGCTTCCAGGTTTTCCATGGTGGTCTAGCTTCAATTAATTCATGATTTCAATCAGTATACGGTATTAGTTTAGTAAAATGTACTTACTATCTTTATACATACTGGGATCTGTAATTGTTACATTAAGCTAATTACAATGAATGCTTGCGTATAAATTTATATTCAAGAGGGTGTATGCAAATTGTTAAGTTGTATAGTTAACATTATGAAGTTAATTATATTTAACCTTTTTAATTCTCCGATAAGAACGCTTTATCGAACAAATATGTTTCTATACATCTAATAATATTCAGTGCAATTGTAAGTCTATGGTGCATGATAAGCATTACTATAGGGATTAACAAACATAATATAAATGAGATAGTGTTGTAATTTCCCAAATGATCGATATATATTGGTTAGACAAATTGATACTGTCAAATATAATAAACCTCAGGATAAATGATACATTTATACTACTGACCAACCAATAGCTGTATTGATTAAGCCTGACGATAGACAGAAAAAGGCATAAAAACTAGGCTGTAAAATATATCTCACCATTAATACCATAGGGGTTTCCGCTGTCGCTGTAAATGTGTAGGTAGTGACAACTAATATATTTAAAAAAAAAACAGTTCTTTCATCAAATGTGGAAGCCATACGTTCAATATTTTATTTCCAAATCCTCCATCAGTTGTCATAAACTTCATCGTTCCTTCATTGTCATAACAATTAATCTCTGTTCCCGTTCTCTTCGATTTGTTCTTCCCAACCATATAATTTCAGGTATTCCACTTATAATTGGCGTTACATACTTGTGTTCACAATCCATTTATTACTTGTATGTTTCACGCAAAAGTCTGCATAAAATGAATGTACAAGCATATGCTAATTGCCACTGGACCGAAGTTCCAAATGATGACAGCCAGAATCTTTTACATTATTTGAAGCAAGACATCAGTTAACTTAGACCTTGAGATTAATTCGCGAACGTGTCGTTGTCTCCACTCATTATTTATTCAAAATCAAGAAGAGACTAAAACGAAACAAATATCTTTTCAGCCATGTATTTCAAAAGTGATTCACAGCATCTTCACAAGTAAAAAAGATGTATAATGCACTTAACAAAACTCTCCTATCTAAAAATACAAGGTTTCTGTTGTTTTTCTTGAAATATTTGAATAATTTACATAGTTTGGACAAATAAAATAGATTTCAATAGTTGAGATCATGAGTCAGTTAAAGCTAGACAACCATGGAAAACATGAAAGCACTAGACGGCCGCTTCCTCCGATTGTGGAGCTTCTCAGCAGTGCGCATCCACGATTCCGCCTGGTGGGATTCGAACATAGGACCTATCAGTCTAGCGCGCGAACGCTTAACCACTGGACCACTGAGCCGGTCGATATCCAATTGTGTTAATGTCTAGCTCCAACTAATCAACGAAAGTGGGTGACACATCCACCACTGTCATCAATGAGTTACTATCTCACAACAGACTTCAACTGACTCATGATCTCAAATATTGAAACTACTACAATCTCCAAAAAATCCCTTCTCATACTAATCAGTATATGCTCACTAATGATTGGTTTCAAGAGGTATTTACTGGAGTTCTAGTGAGAAGCAGTGACCAGTGGAGTTCAACCGAGTGTGCCCCACAATCGGACGAAGCGGCCGTTTAGTGCTTCCAGGTTTTCTATGGTTGTCATTTTGGCATAATGATGTGTTAAAACAATCAAGGAAACAGATAGCTTGTTGAAATATCCAGATGGCAGGAACAGGTAACCCAGATATTCAGGCAGGCCACCTCAAACACATTGATGGTTATTTTGAGATCTACAAAATAATAATAATTCCACGAACACTTGGGATATAGATCACAAACAATATCATGAAAGTTAACTGATTTAATGTTAACTATCTTCAGTAAAAATTAGAAAATCAAATGGTTATGTCAAATACCAATCACTTTCAATGCATAAAATCTTATTCTACATGATGATTAAGTATTTTCAATAAGTTATAAAAATGATGCCATGTAAATTAAATGTAATATAATATTGCTGTTGAGTTAAGATGGTGATTGGAGGTAGTCCTACATGAGGTTGGTCAAGGTGCGGATAGCTCAGTGGTTACGTCTCTGACAATGAAGCTGGATGACACGGGGTCGAATCCGTCAGGGAGCACCGGTTCCCTCACGACTACGGGTACATCTTGCTGACAAATGCAAAATAGCACGAAACCTGGGTTCAGGGTTTCTTGTTGACTACCTCCAACCACCATCTTATCTCAACAAAATGTATGCATGTCGAGTCACCAAAACTGGTGGCCACATCGCAACTCGGTCAATAGAATTCAGTCTGCACTAAGAAGTACCTGACATACATGACATTGATAACCACCCGGTGATCAATCAATTGTAAATACTGTCGAGCACAATACTTGTGAATCTAATTAAAACACAATAATCTTATAGCTAACTTGTTACAAGATACATTTTGCAATTCTGTTAGTAAGTATATTCATCAGTGAAAATCCCACGTACATATTGCATCCACGGTGAATCTATGAAATGTTGAAATAAATATATGCACATATAACTTATTCAGATTACCATAATCCTGAGGGTTGCCATACTAGGATGAAATGGCCGTCCAGTTCTTTCAGGTTTTCAGTCATGGTCTAACATTTATCGATTCATAATCTCAATCAAAAAATTGACAATCTTCAAAATCTTACACTGATAATTACCATCCTATTAGTTCAACTATAAAATGAGATCTAAGTAATCCTATAGTCTTTGTGGCTCGAATATGATTTTAAAACTAAGCCATTGGTGGTCAGTGGCTTTATTGTGTGAATTGGTTGAAGTTATACGTTAACACTGTTGAATGCCTTTCAAACAATACTGCCAAAGAAAAAAAACTCCTGAAGGATGAATCTAGACTTACGCAAATTGTAACCATGGTGTCACCATTGTCAAAACACAAATAGAAGAAGTTTACAGTCTGTTTTTTTCTTTAAAAAAAAGTATTATTAAAATGAATTGGATCACTTGAAAAGAAAAGACAGTAGCTAATGAACCACTTAATGATGAACAAACAAAAAAATCATTGAATTTACAGATGAACTTAACAACAACAACAGCAAAAGAGGACACTTTCAAAAAGACAAAAGGACTCTTTCAAAAAAAAAAACATTCAATATTCCAACACTCCACAAATGTAATAATTATTCAATGTTTAATTAATATTTCACAGACATATAATGCATCATAATTCGTTAAATCAAGAAAAAAGGATTAGTGGGCGGCCTATACTCCTCCATGAAGAGTAACAGGCGTAAGTAAATAAATAAGTAAGAAAAAAGGATGACAATTTATTAAAAGTACATAGTTGATATTTACGTTGTTTCCTTTTTTTTAAAGTGATTTAATAATAAGCTTGAAAGACAGACCTACAGCATGTTTATGAAAACAACAACAACAATCACACAACATAATTATGACCATAAATGGTTACATATATATGAGTATATATAAAGTAAATAAAAAGATGTAAAGTACTGTATGTAAATCAATGCAAATACAAATCTGTTATTTTGTATCAATGAATGAAATGGAATAGTTAGTAAAAATGCATTTCTTTTATTAATTAGATCCAGAATGTTATGAAAGTCAACCATGAAATGAATTAAGATTTATGTCATCAAACTTATTATGAATACCCAATACCCTGAGTATATAGATATATATATTTATATATATATTGCCTCATGTATATTTAATCATTTCATCGTGATGAAGGTGAGATTGATCTGTTGGAACGTGATCTATTAGACGAAGAACATTGATCTGGTGTACGAGCTCTAATAGGTTGTTCTAAATGATCTGAAATAGTTGAATCTTGAGTTTTATCTTGAGTGAAATCATGACTTGCAGCTAAAAATGCTGAAATTAATGTTGCTGCACTTAATTTAGCTGCCATTTCTGAAGGTAGTTGAATACCACATGTTGATGAACATGATGAATGACATGATGAACCAGTAGTACCATCTGTTGTAACATTTAAAAATGAAGCATCGGTTGCACCACTTTCAAATGTACTACAACTTAATAAACTGCTTGCAGTAGTTGAAACACTAGCATGACTCAAACTACGACTACGACTAGGATGTCGTCTTAATCGTGTCCAATCAGTGACTCTTAATCGTGCAGCTTCTATTTCAGCTTCTAACTGACCTAAATTTGTACGAATCTGACGATATGTTTCAACAAGATATTGCTGTTGATCAATCCATCGGCCATGTGGTGTGGTACCAATGGTAGATCCAGTATTTCTGTCCATTACAATTCCAGGCATCTGTTAGTGTATAAAAGAAATGTAAAATGTTAATAATCGAAAAACTGGGACGAACACAAAAATGGTTAAGCATAACGAAAGATTTTTAGTCGATAGAATAAAAACATTATAAAATATACATTCTATGAGTCTAACCTTTCATAGCATGTCTATAATTGATCAAGATCATAAGTACCCTTTATCAACATTTGAGGTTTCTTACTTTTAATAGACAAAATGTAATGCATATAAACACAAGTTTATAAAACATCCGTAAAATAATGTTAATGATGCTTTAATAATTTATTTGATTTAACCAGCTTATATGAAATATCACACGTTGAATACATGTAATTTCAGTTTAACATCTCAATTCCTATTTACTGTTACTTGATAAAGATGAATCGAATTAATGAATTGAGTTACACACTAAAGACAATGATGATCAATCGCTCAGTATCCTGGATTGGTTGGAATTAGACATTAACACCGTTGGATGCCGTATCACTGTTATGCAATAACCTAGTGAATATTAAATAACTGGTAACTTCTGTGAACTATTAATGAACTAATATTATGTGTAAGGACGCTAGGCTGCTCATACTGGTCGAAATCATTAGTTTGACTCAGTACTATAATTGTATAAGCCACATTTCGATTGGCAAATAAATCGCGTGATAATTAACCGGGCTTCAAGTTACAACATGTTCTACAGGTTAGGCGTTCACGCACGAAACCGAGGGTCATGGGTTCGAGCCCCACGTGCGGGATTGTGGATGTGCGTTGCTGAAGCGTCGCATACTAGAACGAAACGGTCATCTCGTGTTTCCAGGTTTCCAATGGTAGTCTAACATTGGTCCACACAAATCTCTGGATTGATAAACCATGCAAATATAAATTGGTTATATGTTACAACAGTTTTTTTAACTGTTTGACGATCTCTATAAAATATTCAAAAATAAGGAATATTTGGGTGAACCATTGTTTCCAATTGCCTCATCATCAGAATCTTAAGTTATAAATCCATAATTATTTTATTACAGTGGGATACATAAGCAAGTATATTAAACAATGTGATATGTTAAAGTGGTGGACTTTTGTAGATTTTACGGGTAAAATACGTTCACAGTTGTATTTTGTAAATTCCAAAGGTTACTGAAGAACCATATAGGAAAATTTGTTGTAGGGTGTACAGTTCCAGTCAGTGTAATAAAATAAATCACGCGAATAAAGTGGATAATAGGAAGAATGTTCTGTAAAGCTAGTCCAGATAATGACAATAGAAACGAGAGAATATAATATGTAATAATGCAAGTGCCGTCATGATAATTACTATAAGAAATTTATATGTATCGAGAGAGACGAATATTAAAACTGAAAATAGATTAAAACAGTGATAAATATAAAAGGGTTATAAAGAGTAAAGGTTTTTGATTTGTGACTTATATAAATAGGATGATCCAATTGTAATTCACGGTAAACGGAATTGGTGAATGCTCCTTTTTTAGATGTATAAGTTCCACTTTTTCAGAGTTGATCCTGACGACTTCCTCTAGTTAGAGGAACGTTAGTATTACTCTTTTATATAGGTTATTCAAAACTTTCCAGAGATCAAAGAAGAGTTGATCTGTTTTGACGTGATATTTGTTTTCTACTGAGTGGAAAGTATCATGACTCTTTTTCCTAACCATGAAGTTTTATATTCACAAACACGCAATGATAAATCCCACTGAGTACGCCCTGTGTAATTAGCTGCACAAGAGCTGTCGAATTATTACATACATCAAAAAGCCCATGATCGAATTCTTATCTTTGAAATATTATTTAAATACCAGTTTAATAGGGAAGGTAACATACAACTGTGCAGAGGTAAGTGTAATTTCAACAGATTTGCCAAGTTGGTATGTTAAAATATATATCATCATATCTTCTTTAAAATGAGGTAATCATTGTCAGCTGTTTACCTCTTCTTCGGTCCAAACGCATACCTTTTTAGGGAATTGAGTGGAGAACCATTGTTTCATAGCGTATTCTGTAACTTATCTATTACTTCATTCACACTATATTCAAACCAAAATATTCTGACTCAATAGTTGAGGTATTTATTCATAATTTTTCAATCATTAAAGTTCATACTCCAACGATATCTATCATAGGTACATTAATATTAATAGTTAAATTCATGAATCAATTAAAGCTAAACCACCATGGAAAACCTTGAAACACTGGACTGCCGTTTTGTCTAAGTACAGGACTCTTCGGCAGTGCGCATCCACGATCCCACTCGCCGGATTCAATGCCGACTCAGTGATCTAGAGGTTAAGCGTTGGCGCACGAGACCGATAGGTCTTGGGTTCGAATTACACGAGTGGGATCGTGAATGCACACTGCTGAGGAGTCTCAGGGTTTCCATGGTAGTGTAGCTTTGATTGACTCATGAATTTAACTATTAAATTATTAAAATATCCACAAAAACCCTTTCTGACATTCATATTAGACTTTTTATTTAACAAATATTTTTCATATATCCATTTAATTATAAATTAGAGATTTCTAATACAAACTACCTGCGGTTATAAATTATTTAACTAAAAGTATCCCTTTTCCCAAGAAAATGCGTATTATTTACTTTCATTTTATATTAATAGTCCTATTAGCGGAATGATAATATAATTCACTTGGTATTATTTGGCTTGTATCTTCCCATTGACGTTTAAAACTGAAATTGATCAGTCTGTTATAGGCATATGTGCGTACTGTGAGTATGCCTTGATATTGCCTTAATTCACAAGCTTTTTGCAAGCAGTGATGGGTAGTGGCTAGCAGTGGAATCCTGGACTGATCAATTGCAGTGCTAAAAATCAGTGGGAAGATACAAGCCAAATAATACCAAGTGGAGTGAAATTCACCCCATTGCACAAGCAAGTGGCTATCAGGACTCAGTAGCTAAGTGGATAATGAGATGGAGTTTGAAGCGAATGGTAATGGGTTCGAGTCCCAGAGTGAACATCAACTCTGAAATGAATATATATCCAGCTGACGAGTCCTAAATAGGATGAAACGCGCGTCCTGGATTCCACTGCTATATATATATATACTACTTATTTTTATAAGTTTGTCTTGGTAAAGCACAAAATTTAGTTGCTAGACTATTTTTTCATGGGTAAATTGTAAAAAGATATATACCAGAAGTTAGACAGAAATATATCTATATTATCCATAGACTACATCATTCAATGATTCTAATTAAGTTTCTATTAAGTATTAGGAAATATTGAATAGTTGTTTTGTTCGAATATGAAATTGATCATTAGCACACATGTATTATTTCACCGATGATGAAACTTAAGACCTTCACTCTGACACTTGAACTTTCGACCTCTAGGTCATTGAACTGATACCTTATGGTATATATTTTGAACTTTAATCAATTGGAGATAATACATGGTCATGACTGTTTGCTTGATACTATCATTTAGTTGTATGATGAATGTAATCATCCATTCATTTATCGACAAGTAGAATGTTGAAAAATTAGTCAATAGTTTTAATAAGTACATTTTATCTTTGGGTATAGTAAGAGAAAAGTGAATAGATTGAAAATAAAAACTAAGACTAATCATAGAATCATTATTGTTGAATACCTATCAAGGAAATGAAATTTGATGATGAAAAGTATGGAAACGATAAGGAATTAATAGATTCTAAGCACTGATAAACAAAACAGCTAGCTGAACTGATAAGTCTTATCGATTGAACGCTATATTAGTTTCCTAAGTTATTCTGGTACCCCGAAAGCTAGAACTGCATAGCGATTTGAACACCAGAGAGAAGACGCAAGTATGAGGGAAAATACTTTACTCCGAGGTTCATTTTATTTCAGAAAATATAGGGTTTTTATACTATATCTAAACGTCCTTGGGTCGTTGGAATATTCTGGAATGCTACTAAACATAGTAGCACTGTAGTAGCCAACCAGTTAGAGCTTCCGCATGTGACGTTTCGCTACCTTGATATTTCTGGCCAAGACTCCAAATGAACGCTGGTTGGACGAAACACTTCTTAGTGTTTCTTGATGCTTGCTTGTCTTTTGCAACCGATTTCTGGATCACCTCAACATGAACATAACTAGGATATATGTAAGTAGTTGAACAGACCAACATCAAATGATTTCACTAACCGACGGGTATTAATCTACTGAATAACTAGGCAATCATTCTAACAAAATAACGTTTATATTATATAATGATATCAATGAAAACTACTGAACACTTCAGCTCATTTATCTTGATTCTATACTGTTCAGTAAAGCACACTAATAATGTAATCCGGATATAATTTAGGATTTCTAGATTTTTCGGTACATTACTATCTCCTTTTCAACAATTCTAGAATTAATACCAACTTACGATCAAAGTTGGAATCAAGTTATATGCTCTATATATTTTATTTATATAAAGACGTGGGTTGACAGAGCAAGAGCAGAATATCTACAATTGAAGAACATATGTAACTCAAAACAACTGTCAAACAAAACCAGTCAGAATTTCCAATACAAATGTCTTGACAGTTCTACTGTATGGAGTGGAAACTTTGAGAAGTACGAAAGCAATCAACCAGAAGATACAAGTGTTTATTAACAGTTATATACAAAACATACTTCGGATCCATTAGCCAGACACTTCTAGCAACAACATACTGTGAGAGTTAACAAACCAGATCCCATTGGGGGAAGAAATCAGGAAAAGTCGCTGGAAGTGGATAAGACACACATTAAGGAAAGACAAGCGCTCACATGGAATCCTCAGGGCCAAACGAGTAGAGGAAGAGCAAAGAACACACTACTCCAGAAAATGGAGACAGATATGAGAAGAATGAATAACAATTTAGTAGGAGTAGAAAGGAAGGCCGAGGACAGAGTGGGCTGGAGAATGTTGGTCGGCGGCCTATTCTCCACTGGGAGTAACGGGCATAAGTAAATGAGTAATATATTTGATTTAACTGTTTAAAATATCTAAGCTTTTCAACAAAAACTAGGTATATAGTATATAGTCTTTAGATCTTGAAAAGTCTTATCGCTTAACAATATAAAATCAATATGTTATAACCATCTGAGGAAGATTTCTTATGTTAGGGTGATCCAGAAAATTGCTTGCACAAGACATTCAAGCATCAGGAAACACTGAGAAGTGTTTCATCCAATCAGCATTCACTTGAAGTCTTAGTCAAAAATATCAAGGAAACAAAACATCACATGCAGGGGCTCTGATTGGTCGGCTGCTACACTGCTACTATGTTGAGTAGCATTCCAGAATCTTCTAGCAACCCAAGGACATTTAAAATATTATAAAAACCCTGTATTTTCTGTATTAAAATGAACCTTGGAGTAAACTACTTCTCGCATACTTTGAGTATTCTCTCTCGTGTTCGGGTCGCCGTATAGTTCTAGCTTGGGGGTTACAGAATAGCTTAAGAGACGAATATAGCGTTCAAATCTCAAAGACTTATCATCTTATCGTAATAGTGGTAATCTACGAGTGATCACTTTAAAACATAATTTGTAACATAATCCTTTAACTTACAATACATCAATAGCATAAAACTTATGTTTATATGTATTTTATTCATAGATGATTATCAAATATTATTGTCATTTTGGTGAAACTATGATTTATGGACGAACCAATCACGTATAAGATAACAGATCTCGGATTTTGAAACGAAATTCACTCATCCATTTGGCTAAATAGAGTTTTGACATTATAGCTTATGTCAGTTCGTGATGAATACCCGAAATCTAATTCCTAACCTTAATCTTCAACTGTAAATCATAATTTTAATTCCTCACACAGGTTTTTAACTCTCATTTGGTCCTGGTTATTAAGTGGACACTCTCAAGGTCAGTCTAGAGTCACTCAAAGGTCGTTCATTTGTTAAATTCAATCACATATTTTATTTTAACAGATCAATTTATCAATCAATCTAAACTAGACCACTACTGAAAACCCGGAAGTCCTGGATTGCCATTTCATCCCAGTATGAGACTCCTCAGCAATGCACATCGACGATCACGCATACAGGATTTTAATCCAGGATCTTCGCTCTGATGCACAATCGCTTAACCTCCAGATCAGTGAACCAGCATCTAATGGTGTTCATATCTAACAGGATCTGTTAGAACTGTTAAAATACTACAATCTCCACAAATCCCGAAACATATTTTATTTTTTAAATTATGAAACAGAAAAGTGATTACTGGATTATAATTTCATTAACAGCTTCTTAATTGTATGCGAATATTTAAACTTAGCTAACACATCAGTTATTAAGCAAAATAATTATAATTTAATTATAATAGTAGCAAGATTAAAAAAGAACTATATAGATGTATATATATTATACATAAGTTCGGAACTTATTTTAAAACATGAATAAATGGAGAGAAAATATTCCGTTCATTAAATTGCTCCTAAGTTTCTACAGTCAACTTTTCTCTTTCGTCTTATGGTTGACTGGATTATGAAATGCTAGGGTTGAACCTATCACGAGTTCACTTAATCTGCGAACGAGAAACAAGACTCGGTGACCAAAGACCAGTAGCTAGCTAGTGATGCGTCCCAGCCCCGCTAAATAGAGGGAGAAGTCCAAGCTTGGAGTGGGGAAAACAAAGAAATTCAAAATTTCTAAATAAAATTACAAAATTAGGTCCTTTCCCAAGGGAGTTCTGGGGATCTAACGTTTCCAACATGAAGACCTCCATATTTCAGGGGAAGCGAAACTTTGAACTGAAAGCCTTATCCTCAAGGCAATGGGGCAACTTAACGAGATGTAATCCCATAGTAGCCGGTGACAAACAATAGGTTCATATGCCTTTTGTCCCCTAGAGCCCATGTGCGCCGTTCGTTTGGAATTAGGGTTTTCCAACTCCTCTAGGTGGATCTTCCATAACAAAAAGTATGTATTCATATTATCCCTAACACTCCACGTTTCTTTTCTAGTTGTAAAGGGCATTACTCCTTCCACTTAAAAGATTCTCATTTAGGCAGAATAGGATGAATACTATTAATAATGTGGATCATTAAAACTGACTAACTCTTGTCCTCAAATTCAAAGCGGAAAACAGCAATCCAATCACTCTTGATGGCGAAACTCTGGAAGATGTAGAGTCCTTCACATACCTAGGAAGCATCATCGATGAACAAGGAGGTTCAGATGCAGACGTAAAGGCGAGGATTGGCAAAGCAAGGACAGCATTCCTTCAATTGAAGAACATATGGGACTCAAAACAACTTTCAATGAATATCAAAGTGAGAACCTTCAATACGAACGTCAAGGCAGTTCTACTGTATGGAGCTGAAACTTGGAGAACTACAACAACCACAATCAAGAAAGTACAAGTATTTATAAATAGCTGTCTACGCAAGATACTCAACATCCAGTGGCCGGATACCATCAGCAATAGCCTTCTGTGAGAGAAAACAAACCAACTTCCAGCTAAAGAAATTAGGAAAAGACGATGGAAATGGATAGGACATACATTACGTAAATCGTCAAACTGCATCACGAGGCAAGCCCTAACTTGCAATCCTGAAGGGAAGCGAAAAAGAGGAAGGCCAAAGAACACATTGCGTCGGATAATAGAAGCAGATATGAAAAGGATGAATTACAACTGGAAGGAGGTAGAAAGGATTGCCCAGGACAGGGTTGGATGGAGAATGCTGGTGAGCGGCCTATGCTCCTTCACGAGGAG